CTCATTAAAGTTCCTGATTATATTGAATGTGAGAGAAAAATTAGTAATACCATCTTTTTATATATATTGACCACTATTATGAATTCCTCACTCCCCCACTGTATGTACAGGGCAATTGCTAATCCAACGCTATTCATATGAGATCCCCTAGTCTTACATAAATGACCTATATAATAGTTTCAAGTTTGTAAACAGGACTCATTAAAGTTCCTGATTATATTGAATGTGAGAGAAAAATTAGTAATACCATCTTTTTATATATATTGACCACTATTATGAATTCCTCACTCCCCCACTGTATGTACAGGGCAATTGCTAATCCAACGCTATTCATATGAGATCCCCTAGTCTTACATAAATGACCTATATAATAGTTTCAAGTTTGTAAACAGGAGACAATACAAATTTCTAAATACCAGAAATGGACATACGCCAGGTGTTGTGTTCCGGTGTATAATTCTTGCATGTCATATAATATAATGAATATTGGATACAAATTTCTAAATATCAAAAGTGAATTCTATTGAGTCTGTTTTAAAAAAAAAACATACTGAACTTGCTAATCTCCCCTCAAGAAACATAGGAACCTAAATCGCCTGGACAAATTAGGGCTAATAAAGTTGGTAGCATAAAAAAAATACCTTTTTCCCTTCCTTTTGAAGCTCTGATGCTCTCAAATAAAGCTCTCCCCTAACAGCATACGCCACTTTCTTGACATTCTCATTGATCGATTCGTGATCCAATGGTTTCGGCATGATCGTCCCCTGGACAAACACTCAATTTATCCGAAATTCAACCAAAATCTCAATACACTACGAATTCACAAAGGTTTACCTTTGAATTTTTTTTTAAATTTTTCTGCGGAGTGGCGGTGGAGTCGGAAACTAAATAAAAGAAAGTGAGGGGTTTAGAACGAACGGACACAGAACTTTTTGTATCAGATAAAGGATAACACGAGAGTTCAATGGGATTATCTTATTGAAATTTCGACCACAAAAAAAGGAGAGGAAAAGGGCTATCAAGATTGAGAGAATGAGGAACGCTGAAAATGAAAGATCAGCAGATTGTGGTCTGAGATCGAGCGATGGCATAAAAATACTTGGGGTTTTTTTATTATTGTTATTCTTTTGAAAGTCTAGCGACGGAGCAGAGAATTTGAGGAGCTTGGAATTTGGTGCGCGCTGTTTTCGTCGTGGAGCAAGCTTTCGAGAAAAATACAGGAACCAGTTGTAGGGATACAAGTGGGAGATTGATGTATGGGCTGGGCCCTCAACGGGTCCTAGACCAGCAGTTTATCTGCCGGCCCATCTCATTCGGAAAACTTCAGAACAACTATGAGTGGTGCTTGCACCAATGAGAAAAAGAAGAGCTCGTAGCTGAAATTAGTTGGCACTGTGCCTATTTGTGACTGGGAATAGTCATGACATGGAACATTTTTCTTTAGGGGCTGTTTGGTTCGCTTTAAGAGCCCAAGGAAATCTATTTCTGCCTCTGACACCACCTCCACGTTGGATTTTTTGCTTCCGCCCGTTTCTTTTCATCGCTTTGGTTCGCTAAGGTATAAGATGGAAAACGCAACTGAAAAAGCCTCCAACTCGGATTTTTTTCTCTCTCCGATTTCCTTCCCCAACTGAGAGAAATCGACGAAAACGCTAGCCACCTCGGATTTTTCTCTCCTCGTTGATTTCTTCGGGGATGCTAGAATTACCTCCTTGCTCTAATGCCGCTAGAAATCTCCCGCGGCCAGAAATCCACCGCCAGAAATCTCCGACTCTACCCCTCACGAACCCTAGTCGCCCTCCTACGCTTGGTCCCCTCCGAATCCTTCACCTCCACCCCCTCATCGATCTCCAGCCTCGACCACCTCCATGGATCAAAGAAAGGCGGAATCTTTGAGATCAGGAGCATAGAGTTTCATTTGGGTACGAGGAGCTTGGGCTTTAGGGCTTCGGATGCCGCTCGAGCTGGATTCGCGATGGAGGAGAGGTATTTTGAGGAGGAGAAGGTGGTGAGTTCGAAGAAGGGGGGAGATGATGAGGGGCTTGAGGTTGCTAAGCTTGGGATTGATCAGAGTATTGTTGGTGAACTCGCAATGAGTGGAATAACCAAGCTTTTCCCTATCCAGATGATGATGAAGTTGATGCAACAAATGAATGCGAACCTCAAGTGTCATATATCAATCAGGTAAGCGCTCTCTTTGGTAATAATTTTCTATATGTGTTTGTCCCTGTGTTTCTACATGTATGTGTGTTGTTTTATCTCTTTGCCACTAGAAGGCCAGTTAATGCTCTGTTTGTCACTCTTATCAGTTTGAGTTCTCTAAGTATGACTACTTGAAACACGTTAAAATATACTCCAGAAGGAAGAATAAGAATTTTAAAGTTCCACACAAATACTTGTATGAATTTTCTTATATGAGCAAAACTGGGAAATTGTATTATACAAGCCAAAGTTTTGTGTAAATATGAAGTTCTATAGGATGGTATGTTACTGCTGGGAACCACTAAAGCAAATTAACCTTAGTTCATTAAGTAAGATTTTTATTTTTTGCAATTTATTTGACAGGGCTCTAGCAATGATGAAAATATTTGTAAAAGAGGCACTTCTAGGCTTTCTTGTGAGCTAGAGATAGAGGATTCAAAATCAAATCAGAATACATGTGTGCTACATGAATTTCATTAGAAAGAAGTGACTAAGGAAGGCATGGAAAACCAACCCCTGATTAAAGGGAAAAGTGGATCATGTCAAGATCAAGAAGTGACTAAGGAAGGCATGGAAAACCAACCCCTGATTAAAGGGAAAAGTGGATCATGTCAAGATCGCGACAAATGCCAATAAAATGGGTGCAAAGAAACACTCTCAAAAATAAGTGAAAGATATTTCACTTCCATCAGGAAGAGCTGGTAAGGAGAGGCGATTGATATTTAGTATCATCTATTTTCATGAGTTTGAACAGGAGCTTTTGACATTCACACACAATCTTTCAGGTTTAATAAACAACAGCATCGTTGCAATATCTACCACATTCTCAATACCACTTCCATGTTCGCTTGATGCTATTCGACCATATGGGTATGAACAAAATTTGTAATTAATTTGAAAACAAACTCCTTGAGAAAATGTTTGAAATTGCCCTGAATTTATTTTACTGACAATTCATTATTTTAAGAAAGATGGATAGATTTTGAGTTTGGCTGTTATTACAGCTTAACCTGACAAACATTTAAGCCTATTCAGTCAGGTGATGGTTCGTCATTGTCAATATAACTATAAACTCAGGTTAAACGTTTTATATTCACCTGCATTTTGTTTGACTGGCTTTACAGAAATACTTTATTTTTAAATATTCTTTAAGACATATTGTGTTCCTATAGACAAAAAGATCTGAATATTATGTATCAGAGGTGTTAGCGCCATTGACTTGATTATGTACTCCTTGTTTGCTCAAAAACTTGGAGCTAGTTACACCAGACTCTCCAGTAACCCATTAATACTTGCTTATTCTGTACATTTGAAAACTTTCATTGGCCCCTATACCCATGCGGATTAAGGTTTAGAGATGAATTCACTTTTAAGATAATAGCATGCTTCCCAATTCTTTATATTTATGAATAGCAGAAAAAATATATACATATAGTTCTCCTATTTTCATACATAAGCAGTGAATCTCAATATAATGAATAGCTACAGAGTAGCACAACTATTTTTTAGTGAACACTTCCATTGTCGGCAAACCACTAGGAAAATCACATCTCAGGGAAAATGCAAAAATAATGCGTTAGGATAACTGTCCATATTTCCTAAAAGTTTCTTTACCTTTCTCAGTCAATGAACTGTGAAACATATGATTTTAGTGGGTTACTTAGATCTTAAAATCCATTTAGACTGATATTAGGAAGTGCGCATTGAATAAAAGTGTACTATGGACACTTGAACTTCTGGGATATTTTATTGACACATTGCTAGAACATGTCTACATCTCTGCAATAATTATTAAAGTCGTGCTCTTGAAAAGTTTTCAAACCCAGATTTGAAACTTGTTTTATGTATTGCTCATAAATTTCATTAGTCATTACTCTACTTTAGCTAGTAAACTTGTTTTATGTATTGCTCATAAATTTCATTAGTCATTACTCTACTTTAGCTAGTCTTCTCTGTGTTTTACAGGCACCTCTTGTCATGCATAAATTTCATTAGTCATTACTCTACTTTAGCTAGTCTTCTCTGTGTTTTACAGGCACCTCTTGTCATGCAACCACCAACACGACCAAATCACTGTGCCACACATTGCTACATTGCTCGTCTAATGCATTTCCAGCAACAACTGTTGAAGCTTAACCCTTTTTGTCAGATTGCGGCTCTTTGGGCAAACCATATAACTTGCCTGCAGTGCTACAACCAGGTGCATTACTTCTAGGAGGTCCTGTCATTAGAAATCCATATGTAGTGATCAATGGCAGCTCCCGATCTAGTTCTACATTGACTCTGGGGCATTTAGGTATTTGGTTTTCGTTGGTGACTTTTTTATTTTTAGGCTATGATGATTGTTAATTTTTATGAGATTAGCAACCTGCAATATCTATTGATATTATATTGGATGGCTAACAATGATGATATTGACCAAGTTCTGAGCCCTAAGCTAAACACAATGTGTGCTCGGGATTGTTGGTGGTTGTTGTGTTCAGGTTTGTGACAACTTCTATTTGTTCAGGTTGGTGGGTGTTTCCTGATTACATGTTCTGTTGTTCAACTTCTCTTTGAGCTCATGTTTGTGCACACCAGTTTTGTGAGCTCTGGTTTGTGCTATGTTTTGTGCACATATGACATCTTCTCTTTTGCTCAAGTTCTATTTGAGCTCATGTTTTGTGGATGCTCTGTTGTTCAACTTCTATTTGAGCTCATGTTTGTTCATGACCAGTTTTACTAATGCTCTGGTTTGTGCTATGTTTGTGTTCAGTCACTTGGAGTTCTATGTGTGTTCAGATTTTTCGCACTATTTGTTGATTATGATACTGTTTGTGGGTGTTCAATTTAGGCTATGATGATTGTCAATTTTTCAATGTTTGTGTTCAATGATAACTGTTTGTGGGTGTTCAATTTAGGCTATGGTGATTGTTCAATGTTTGTGTTCATATGATTTCAGGTTTCGTATGATTTCATTAATACAAACAGAAATTTATAATTCATTTGGGATATTATTATTTATTCATGATACATTCGCACTTTTATATGATTATAAGATTACATCCCTTAACTAGCACAAATAATTTTTGTCTATAGTGGGGGGTAATCTTACCTTGGTGACTCTAAACACTTTTCCCTACACACTTCAAAACCAACCAAACACAAGAAAAGTGGGAAATATCAAATCAACAAAAGTTTTTCCTTTTTTTCTCATGCAAACCAAACACAAGAAAAGTAAATACATTGGTTTCCCATCACCATTTTTTATGCAGAACAAACAAAACAATCTATTTTTGCGCAAAGTTGGAGAACTTAAAATTTTGTTTCTTTAACATGGATTACATTTCCTCTACATCCTAGGAA